CCTTGCATCGGCCCTGCTCCTTACTCCCAATCCAGTGCCCTATCCACTAGATTATGCCATCTCACTTATCAAATACATCTTTGCAATTTTCCATTATTATAGGTAGCAATTTTCACCCATCATCATGGACTCAAAGTGCTCTTCATCGACAATTAGAATCCCCACTTTGCAGACAGGTTAAGTGAAGCACAGTGAGGTTAAAGTCAGTTGTAATAACTACACCTTCCCTTGAGTCCTCTGGTTTTTATGGTTTTACAATCACACTTCAAATAGATTTTTTTCTCCTCTGTTGCTGAATTTGGGGTTTTCACCTTTCTCTACAGCATGATGTGGATGACAGTCACTGGCTAGGATAAGTCTCACATCTCACTTAATCATTTCCCTATTATTCCAGAGGCCTCAGGCATTGATGCACCTTGGTACCTTCTATTTTTTTCCCGTATGGAACACAATAGTTAGTCTCCTATGGGGTGTATTACTGTGGTCGAATGTCAGTTGCTGGATTTCATGTGGGGGTACTGGCCTGTGATATATAGGCAATCAGAGTAGATGATCTAGTGGTCCCTCCTGGCTTTGAGCTCTATGACAGTAAGGTCTGAGGTAATGCTAAATCTTACCTAAACCTCTGCACTAACACCCATTCAGAGTAACCACATTCTCTTCCTGAGGGCTACTGTTTCACTCAGCATGCTCCAGGCCACCTATTCCAAAACCTGACTATCATGTACTCCCAGTGCCTTATGAAAGCCCTCCCTACTTTTGAAGATCCCCAGGGCCCAACATATCTGATTGCTACTTTGCAGAATTTTGGCTTGCTGCTCACTTCAAATGTATTGGCACTCTGAGGTTTCCTTCTTAATTACACTCCAGAGTGCAAAGTACACTTCTACAACTCCAGAACATGCAAAATTTGAATGGAGGAGTCTTAAAGTGAACCACAGCCAGAGACCCATGAGAGGGGTTACCATACTTATTGAGTCCCAGGAATTCACAAGAGAAGAAGGGAAATTAGAGCCTCAGGAAAGAATTTGGGGTAGGGAGTAGCAAGAATAGAGAAGATATTTAGATCAAATAGGAACAGCCATGGATGCACAGATAAAGGTCAGATAGTGGATTACTGTCCTGGGGTTCACACACCACTAGTGGCACCTCCTGCTGGCCATCCTGGAAATTATCTCCAGCATCCCCTGGCAGAGGAGCCTCTTGCCCTGCAAACTCCAAGAACTGCAGCCTCTTCTTCCTGACTCAGTCCTCTGGCCAGGTCACCATACAAGTCTCCCCCACACCCTTCCTGAGCCCATTTGTCAAGAAGGACTTTGTTACCTCAGGAAGTCTTCCTATTCACTGCCCCACCAGTGCCACTTAATCAGCAGCTGGCAGGGGGTTCCAGGTCAGGGGCCATTTCATCAGCAGAGAAAGTTTGTCCTACCCCAGACCTTGCTGTTTTTCCCCCAAGCCTTGCCCACCTCTCTGGGTTTACCAAGCCACAGTCCTTCCTCCCACAGAGTAACTATAGGCTACTTTCCTCAAGCCACACCCACCCAGGAAGCAGCTGAAGACTCCTTCCCTCCTACCCCTTTTGTTGCCAGCTTCCTGGTTTATATAGTCCCCATCTGTGTCTGCCCAGCTGAGCCTTGTGTCTGGATTAATCAATTCCTGCTCCCTGTCTCCTCCTCCAGGTGCTGTCTAGAGGTTAATTGGGCTTAATTTAACCTCTCAGAGCCAGTATAGGTAGTACACCCATCATAATCATTATCAATGGAGAGTAACAATAGAAAAGGGTTTAGGTATTAATAACAATAGGGAAAGAGCTGGATTCAGGTGGAAGTTTGCATTTAATATGGAGAAATGATCAGAATTGGTTGTGTGGTAGAAGTAGTAGGAACAGGGAAGAGAACTGAGGTAGAAAGAGCAAGTTGTGGTGGAGTGGGTGATAGAGACTTACATGATCCTGAACCTTTAAACAGCCTTAGAACTTGTTTTCACTGCAGAGTCAACTTGGACTCTTAGGTGCTGCCCTTAACCCAGCTCCTGTCCACACAAAAAAACCTGTCACCCGAATGCCATGGTGCTTTACACCTAGGCTACTTGCCCCATCCTGGAGTATCAAATAAAGCCCAAGTGCTGCTTATCCAGGGGATAGTAACCTGCCCACTTTGCAATGAGATTAGATGCTAAACAACTTGAGTACTGATAGTTCTTCAGTGCCTTCACACAGTTGCCCAGAAAGGCAGAAGGGTTCTCCCACAATAGAGTGGCTCAGCTTACTGAAGGTCTAAGAAACTTGGGATATGACCCTGGAAGTCCTAGCACCCCACAAGTGAAGAAGCATCAGTGTGGATGCACTAGAGTGGATATGCTCAAGTATGGCTTTGCAGTAAGGCTGCTCATATCCAAGCTAGGCCATCCTGGATGGTCACTTGTTCAGCCTGATCATCTGAGTTAACTCCGCAGTGAAGACATACCCTTAGATATGTCTCTAGGGGCTGGTGATGACGTGTTATTTATCAAGAACTGGTTTTCAGAATATAGCCTTATATTCCTTATCCCTTTATGGTACTGTTGTCTATCTGTGGAAGAATGTTCTATTGCATCACCAACTTTTTTTATTGATATAAGTACTAAACATTTTTGAACCCGTTCCCCATTAACTTATAAATTCTCATTTATGGTCAATACCTTGCACGTTATGTTTGTCAAAAAAAGACACACGCATATCTGGAAACAAATTAGTGAAGAAAAAAGTGGAGTCCATTCAGAAATGATCAGTGAACAATTTTTCCATTCCTTCTAGTTTTAAAAAAACATCAACAGCAAGAGAGCTACGTTTTGCAGGACGTTGATTGCTATACACTTCAGTAGGGAGATCGTTTATGATTAAATATACTTTAAACATTCCAGATGTAGAATGCTGTGAAAGAGAGCTGACTTGTGTAATTATCACTGAAGTAATCAATAAGGAGGGCTAATTGCTGGAGGAGATTTAATGTCATATTCGATTAAAGTGGATTTATGAATATCAGCAACATGACAGCCCCTTCTGGGCCCAATCCTGCTTCTTTTGAAGTCAATGAGAGTTCTGCTATTGATTTCACTGGAACCAGGATTGTGCCCATTGTTTGCCAAAGAGTGAATCATTATTTGTGAAATTTTTAGAGGAGGTAAACTCATGGCAGTCTTGGAACTGAGGACAGAGGTAAATAGTGTGTTGTAATATGATTAGCAAATGATAATGTGAACTACAGAAAAATGTACAGGGAAGAGAAAATTTCCTGGCAAGTGAAATTTTAGAGACAAGGAACATATAATTCAATGGGGGAGTAGAGAGTGGATTTTCCCGATTTTTCCCCTTAAAGTTAATGACAGAATATGGTGGCAGGTTGGCTAGTAATAGAATATAACAAGCTTATAGAAAAAATAAGTGAATTGGGTGCATAGAATATTTTAATATAGATTGTATAAATTTTTTGTTGTTGCTAATTTACATTTAATTAGGGAGACAGCATATTTAGTGTTTAGAGCAGAGAACTGGGATCAAAATACTGCCCACTTGCTATGTGACCCTTTGAAAAGCATTTAATCTCTCATGTCTGTTTCCTGTAGGAATGGGAATATTAACGCCTGTTTCTGTAATGTTCTTTAGAGTCTCTGATAAAAAATAATACTTTGAATTTATATAGTGTTTTTAATTTTCAATAGCTTTACAAAGACTAATGAATCCTCCCAACTCCTCTGGGAGGTAGATACATTGGTTTATGTATCCCCATTTTACAGATAAACCAAGGCTAAGTTAAGTGACTTGTTCAAGGTCACAACAAGGGAGCTATCATTGGCTGGCAGCAAATATGAGGATTTGCTTCAAGAAAACACTTTGGCACATGCTTAACTTAAAGCATGTGAGTAATGCCATTGAAGACAACATTACTATTCATATACTTATTAAGAGCTACCATTAGAACTCATTAGGTCCGCATACACAGTTCTGGGCTCAGACCACTACCCTATCTTTCTCTAAGACTAAGCCTCTTTGTATAATTGGTGATGATATAATGCAATATTAGATATTCTTAGATACTCTTCAAAGACATTACATATTTATTATATACATTTCAAAAGCATCTGTTGCTACAGTATCCAGTGCTCCTACATAAAATATCTAATATTTATACTATCATGTTTTAAAATATAGTTGATGTGTGTGGATTTTTATTTTTCAGTGTTACTATGAAATAATATTTTCAAAATAATTAATATGTCAAGGACTACAAAGACAATCCTGCAACTCATCCCTAACAGGATATTATGAGGTGTGGCATAATTAGAGCTAATTTTTTAGTTATGACTAACATTTTATATTGCAATAGCATCTCCATTTCAGTCAGGTTGGGTCCTCATTGTGCTAGGCATCATACAAACACATAGCCAGTGACAGTCCCTGACCCAAAGAACTTATAATTGAAAAGAATTATGTTTATATGTAACTGACAGGTATTTGAAATGTTTTATCCTGGATGATAAAGAAATGAGAGGGTGGATTTTATTCATGTGACAGGTTTTTTATGCGCAATTCTAGGTGTCTGTTTTTCTGTGCTGGTGTTGAGCTGACTTTCTTTTATTATTATTGCAATGTATAAAAATGTACACTATAAACTTCTGATGCATGGTTTTGGAGTTGGGTTTAGAATGTCCGTGCATGTGTGCTGGATCTCTAGGATGTGGTTGCACGCCCGGTGATGATACCATGTATGTTACGAGGTTCTGTGCCCTGAAATAAATAATGAATTGAATCAAATCCACATCCGATGTTGGCTGTGTGTTTTCACGTGTGGGATCACCTCGCGCTGTTTGTTTAAGGCTTTTGTATTTGTAAAGGGAAAAGGAAGGCGCTAGGACCGGGCTGGCTCCTGGTATCAGCCGGGAGGGAACTGGAGGAGAGAAGGGGGGTGCACAGTGACTTATGCAGAGAAGGCGCTGCTGCCATTTCCACTCACACTCCGCACTCACTACTCAGAGGGAGGGAGGGAGGGAGGTTACACAGGCTGACTGAACTGAGGAGCTCAGCTGCCAACACTCAACACTGCCTGCTGCTGCTGCTGTACTCTGGGCAAGGGGAGGGAGGGAGAAAAGAAGGAGAAGAAGAAAATAAAGAAAGAGAGAGCAGATAAGTAGAGGGGGGAAATCTGAGAAAGAAGGAAAAGCAAAGGACACCTCCCTCCCTACAGAGAGAAGACTTTCCATGTAGCAGGGGAAAGAGGGAGAAGCCTGAAGCTCAGAAACTGTGAGAGAAGCTTTCCTACCAAGTTACTTAATCCCTGGAGAGAGGAGGGAGATTAATAATAACAACAGTTGCTGATGATAATAATTATACATAACCTCTAATAATTTAAACCCAAAGAAAGTTCAATGCAATATTCTAAGCTATTTCTAGTTGCCTCTTCGGGGTAACTTTGGAAGACTTGCTGCTGCTGCTGCTGCTGCTGGTGTCGCCTGGAGGTGAGAGAGGAGCCTCGGAAGAAGGAAGGAGAAGTTTCGTGGGGCTTGTTTGCACAGGAGGAGAAGATGGGCTGGAAGAGTCGCTGCTGCTGGGGAGGCGGAGGAGGAGGGGACCGTCTCTGCCTGCTCACCCTCTTGCTGGGGTTCCTGCTACCCGCCTGCAGGACTCGAATGTACACCAACCACTGGGCTGTGAGGATAACTGGGGGGCATCAGGAAGCCAGCAGGATAGCTAGCAAATACGGATACGTCAATATAGGACAGGTAACCCTCCTTCAAACTACATGCACTACTTTCTAACAGATGGTAACGTTGCAGATGCCGCAGGCAGGACCTTCTCCCAGATCTGCTGCTGCTGCTGCTGCTTAGTCTCGGCTGGCACAAAAAGTTAAGCAAGGGAGCGCAGGGCAATGGAAGGGGCAGACAGAAGTTTGCCTTCAGTCTAGATTCCTCGGAGCCGTTCCGCGAGTGCGGAGTGTGTGGAGAGTCCTGTTCGAGTCAGCAGGGATCTGTCTGTGGCTGAATCCTGCCGGTGGATTGTGGTGGCAGGGGGCTGTTTCTCCCCTTGTGTTTGTTTTGTGTGGCTGCGTGCAGGGGTTATTTTAGGCCAGGTGTAACACGCATGTTTTAATTGTATGTGTGTGTCCCGGGTGCCGGTGCTCTGGGGGATGACGCGAGTGTGCAATGCACAACAACAGCGGGAGACAGAAGTTTCTCTCTGCAGACACTTTTGGGGAAGGATTGTGCGAGTGAGGCGGGGGATGTTCTCTGTGCAGCGCCGTGGGCATTTCTCAGACAACTGCTCACGAAGTGGGAGCATGCAAAACACCCAGCCAGGAGACGTTTGAAACTTCCTGCGTTCAGACAGTGGCTCTAGCAGCAGGATTGAGAGGGGAGGGGAAAACAAACATCCAGCTCCCCACCCGCAGATTCCTCGTCTTTGTCCTAGGGCTTGGGAGGGTTGGGGGAATATTACTGTCTAGGCGTGATCCTACCAGGTAAAGGAACGGGAGCTGGGGTTTTAAAATGCAATGAAAATCGGTGCTTAGAAAAGGTGCCCCGGTTGTTATTTGTGATTGTTATGAATGCAGAATAAAGACCAGTTCATGGGGGTGGACTGATGATAACATGGACACAGCGATAAAGCCAAAATACGCGCTCGTTCAGCCAGGTAAATTTCCGGCTAAGCTTGGAATCCTGCCCGCCCCCGCAAGAGCTGTACGTGGGGGGGGGGGGGGGGGGGAGGTTCAGGGGAACACGTTTGTCACGGAAATTAAATGCATCTAAGGAATTACCCTTGTCCTGCTGACGCTGGGTGGAAGTGGCTCTGCTGCGGATCGGAGCCTTCTGCCGCTAGGGACGTGTTTGTGAAGGGGGAGGGAGGAGGAGATCGCTTGGAGGCAAGGAGTATCCGCTCTGTCCAAGATATCAGAGCATCTAGCCCTCCCACAGCTTTCCCCACCTCCAGGCGCCTCATTCCATTTGTGCCGTTTCAGAGCATGAACTTTGAGCTCAGTCCCTGAAAATCAGATCTCCCGGAACAAGCAGATTGTGTGTCCCACGGGACTAGGAGGACACAGCTGCTGCTATTGCCAAGGTGGGAGTGGGGGGAATTTCTAGCCCCCATTTTGGACACCTTCCGGAGGGACAGGTTACGAGGAAGGAGGAGGAGGTGGCAAAAGGGTCGCCCTTTGTGCCCCTGCCTGCATGTCGTCTTGCTGCCGCTACGATTTGTAGCAGGCAGCTTGGAGAGAGAAAAATAAACCAGACTAGTCCTGTTAAAAATCAGGTTGTGCATGGACGGGGGAAACACTGAGGGCATTCGAGGGCTGATGTACGGAATCAGGACTTACTTGTGCTCAGAGATCTAGATTTTACATATCTCGGTAAAGGGAAGCATTCCTGTCAATGCACGGCCTATATGGGGGAAAACACTGATTTCCTAAATTGTGTGTGTGTGTATATGTGTATACATAAATATACATATATATACATATATATATACACACACATATATACATGTGTACATATATATATACACACACACAATAAAATTACTTCCTCCTTTCTCTAGTTCATAATAAAATTAAAATTGGAAAGGGGGAGAAGTAAAATCTTGAATCCAAGAAAATTTAACACAAAATCGTACAAATCTTCCTTGATCTATGCCCAGTCAGTTAGAAAACATGGGGACTCTGTTGAATCCACAGATGTTTAGTTAGAAAACACCTGGAACTGTCTGGATCCAAAAACAGACCATGAGGAAATTATTGGATCCAGACACTTGGAGTGAGGAAACATCTGGTTCTTGCTGGATCCAGTCACATTTAGAAAATACTCTGCTGCTGCATCTAGGCACAGATACTACAGTAAGAAATAAGAGTTAAGGTACTCTTTTTCTGATGTACACCCTGCCATAGGTGTACACACATTTCTTGGTATTTAGCCTTATAAAGTGTGAGTTGTTATCCAATGCATCACAAACTGAGTGCTTAAAAATAAACAATACTGTTTTGCAAGCAGTTTTTCTGGGTGCACTTTTAATTACACCAATTAAAAGTTTAGAACACAAGACTTAACATATACAGAAGACCTCTTCATCTCATGCAAGAAATTCACAAAAATAGAGCTGCACTTCAGATCTTTTTCACCCCATCAGATCAAAGGACAGTAACACTCACCCAATTGTTAGTATAATAAAATCAGTTCACACATACTGTATCATTGTACTGAAAGTTTCAAACATACCTCTCAGTTTCTTGTTAAGAGGGACATCCTTTATGTTATAACTTAATCTGGAATAGTGCACATTTATTTACATCAAAAAATCTGGAACACAACACTGATATTATGTAAAATGTGAAATACAAATACAAATCTTCAAAAGGGCTGAGTCCCAGCTTCCCTTTTTGTTCCCACATTCAGGTAATTAGAGGCACAAATAATCCTATTTAGGGGCACAAAATTACGGAGGCAAATGTATATGTGCACATTGCACCCACTCTTTGGAAAATTTGGCTCCAAATTGCCATTTATATAAAATAAGTGAATCCAATAGAGTTTCCTGCTCTATTGTTTTTGTGTCCCTTATTCTGGGTCTTTTTTCTTTTTTGTATCTTCACATTTGGACCTCAGTAGTTTGAGCATTACCATATTGTTCAAGTACAGAAACAGGCAATATAGTAAGATGTATGGAGAAGGATTCTCTTCTGCCCCTTGTTTTATTTGCCATGCCAGATGGCTAATTTAGGGCCTGACCCTGCATTCCTTGCACACCCAAACCTTCCATTGAATAAATAAGGAAAGCAATAAGAAGCTTTTGTCTTCTTATATGTCAGTAAAGTGCCATGTGTACACCTATGGCCTTATATTAATAATACATACATTGCTGATCAGGTGTGCAGATAGGGAGGGGACAAAATACAGAGCATATAAATAATGGACAATTGGAAAATGCATAAATAGATCTATAAATCAAAGGAGTGCATAATGCTGATTCCCTTCATTTAAGTATTATTTAGGTATGCAGATGTGCAGTATGCAAATAAAGAAAAGGAAGACTATAGGAATATATTAACTGGGGAATGTGTATTTGAGGGAACAAGTGAGCATTAATGAGCGCATGAACAGGTCTGGTAGTTGATTCCTAGTCTCATTCTGCTTGCTGCCAAGCTTTAAACAGGAAAAAGCTGGCAGTGGATGTATGCTAAAACATTCATGGAGATTACTACACATGTTTTGGCTACTAGATGTAATTTTGCTCTATCAAATAGAGATCCCAGAGCATGGTTTATTACAGGGTCGGCAACCTTTCAGAAGTGCTGTGCCGAGTCTTCATTTATTCACTCTAATTTAAGGTTTTGTGTGCCAGTAATACATTTTAACGTTTTTAGAAGGTTTCTTTCTATAAGTCTATAATATATAACTAAACTATTGTTGTATGTAAAGTAAATAAGGTTTTTAAAATGTTTAAGAAGCTTTATTTAAAATTAAATTAAAATGCAGAGCCCCCAACCCCGGACCAGTGGCCAGGATCCGGGCAGTGTGAGTGGCACTGAAAATCAGCTTGTGTGCCGCCTTCGGCACGGGTGCCATAGGTTGCCTATCCCTGGTTTATTACATATTTATGTGTTCTGAAGAGTGGTATGCAAGAAGAGTTTCATGGCTGTGTAAAGTTCTCTTTAGGTCTGGCACTTTTAAGTTTCTGGTTACTCCTTACAAAAGGTTCTCCAAATGGTTTTTTTATGTCAGAGGGTTCATGAGAGTGTCCTTGGGCATTCACGTGAGTAGTCTGTTCTGTTCCATTCCATACCCCCCCACCCGCCACTCTGAAAATTTGGTACCATTTTCATCAGGTTCCCAGATCACTGGGTCTACAGGTGTATGACTTTGATTCTACATCCCTTGTTACCTCGTGGATAGCACAGAACTATGCGATTCAGAGTGTACATAATACCATTCAAAAGAGTTATGGCACCATTCTTGAAAAGTATAACAGAACATATGTAATCTCTACATGTGAAACAAAGCATACAGGTTATCTTGTAGGTAGCATATGTAGATTTTATAGAGCACAGGGGAAGAGAGATTTGAGGGTTAAGTTTTAAGGATAATGATTAAGGAAAGGAAAATTGGGAAGTCCAAGGAGTAGGATTTGGCTGTCTTTTATTAGGGAGATTTAGAAGTCACAGGTAAGGGAGAAGTGATAGTTGTTAACATGGATTTGGAGAGTGAAGGAATCAATCCAACCAAAAAAAAAAAAGCATGGAAAGTGAGGGAGAAAAATCTATGCCAAGGACAGTAAGGGATGAGAATTTACTATTTATTGGGGAGAGCCAATGGGAAGTGTCTGAAAGAAATCTAATAGTATGGAGTACAGGAAATAGACAGAAGAACAGGACAAGATAAATTCAAAAGGATTGTGAAAAGTATTGTGGTCTGATATCTGGTTACACTATTAAGATACTTAAAGTAACCAGTTAGCAGATTCCTTTTCCAGTAGCAGAACTTGTTGCATGTGCAACCTGTAGATTATGGCAGCCAAGATAGTTAGGATTTTGGTTTTGTAGACAGTGTTACTGCCAAGTGAGCTGAAAGGGAGCCTTCTTCTGATTGGGTCGGTAGGAGCTGTGCTATGTCTATTTTGGCTCGAAGTTGCTCATTGCAAATCTTATGGAAGAACAGATCCATAAACAATCTGAAATGGACAAGAAACCATTACAGGGTTCTGAACATGGGATATTACCACCTCCAGATAGAAGTAAAGGGACAAGGAGCTGAATTTTGGGGTAATTGAAGATTTGAGAGTTGGGCTTTAGAAAGAATGTACAGAACGCTAAATCTTGGCTCTTTAAAATCAGTGTGAGTCTTGCAATTGACTTCAACAGGCATTTTACTCAAGGGAACAGAAGAATTACAAGAGTCTAGATAAGACACAATAAGGTCATATATAAGAACTGATGTCTAATATGGATAGTGTTTCAGAGGTTTTTGTGGGCAGATTTGCAAACCAGGAAGATCCTGACAATATTGTCAATTGACTGAGTTGAACTGAGGGGAGCAGTAGAGATGGAGGGATTTGCTTTAGGGTGCTTTTGTTACCAGTTGATCTATCCATTTTGAATGAGTGGAGATGAAAGAAGTTATGAGAAAAAGCAAACTAGAGGATGATATTTAGGCAGGCTGCAAGTTAATTTAGGGATAAAAGAAGAAAGGTGGTATAAGTTTTGGATTTTATCTGCAGAGAAGTGATAATGTTGACTTGAGAAAAGAGATGATCAATGGAGATGAAATAATGGGCAGGGGGTTGTGAAATGAAGTTCAGACAATACACTGGAAAGGGCTGTAGAACATCTGTTTTATGGGTTGGGGTTTTTGTGATTTAATGGTTCCTTGGGGGTGCATGGAAGTTAGCTCTTGTGTCTTTTGCTTTGTTTGGGTGATAGGTAGTAGAATATAACAAGTGGTCCTTGAAATATCTGCTTATTTTCATTGTCCAGTTGGTGTCTTAGTCCTGGCCATGGCTAGAAAAACTAATCAAACACCAGATGACTAGATCAATTAGTGAGGGGTAGATGCGATAGATGGATGAGGGAGGGGCCAGAGGCAAAATATTGGAGGGAAGCCCAGCTCCCTGCTACTCCCAGTTCCTGGTCAGATGGAGAGATTTCTACCAATGTGCTGTCTGTGAACCTTGCTTAGGGTTTTCATCTTTTATTCCAGTCTCTGACTAGTAGGTAGTTGATTAACTTGAAGCTCCAGTCTTCTTTACTTCCCCAAAGGAAGAAGGAGTTTTCTGTCACTTCTCTCACTGCATGGCCTCCTGGCAGACATAAGGTGGGAGAGGAAGAGGTTTTTCCTAAGCAACCTCTTTCCTAGGCTCCATTTTTTCATCCTCCTTTCCTGTGAATAACTCCAATAACTGCCTGTGCTGTTGGTGGTATTTTTTTCTTACCTTTACAAGCATG